TTAATATGATTGATTATGATTATAAATAGATAATATGATATAAATTTTTATTTTTTACTATATAAACTTAATTGAATAGATTAATGTATAATAATATTTCAAAATAATTTCGAAATTAGTTAAAATATTCAAAGATAAATAGAAAATGAAGATCTTATAATTTTTTTTTAAACAGATTTGTTAAAATTTAAATAAATTTATTTATATTTAAAATGAAAAGATATTATGATTAAAGTATTTTAATTTAGATATTGTTAGTTTTAATGAAATACATATAGTAAAAGTTTTTAGTGATGGTCCACTTAAAAAATCACACATGAATCGAGGCCATGACTTCTATTTTAATATATAAGATTATCATTTGAGAAGTAACCTAGGTAGTTCCCTGCACCATATGCAAGATCAAATTCTTATCCGGAATATTTTTAAAAATATGTTTTAATTAAATATCAAATTAAGATAAAATAAACAAATTATTTTTAATTAATTTAAGAATAACATAAGTTATTACATGTTTTTAAAAGTTTACCAAAATAACATAAACATTAAATGTGATTGTCTACGTCATATTTTACATTAAGCAATGTCATCTCTTCTGCTATGACGTGTCAATATTTTTTAGTGAAATTGAATATGGTGATTATACATATCAAAATCACTTCACAAATAATGTATAAGGGCTTCGTTTAGTTGTCAATTTCTCTATAATTTTAGGTAGTTTTTTATTTGTCATTTTTAATATTTTCATATATAATTTATTAAACAAAAAAATAAATTTATATTAATAATATTATATTTTTTAGAAAATATATTAATTCTTATGTATTAAATTGTTATCTTGAAAGTGTTTTTTTATTATTATTTAAGTGAATTTTCTGATAGATTTGTAACTTTTCGTGCTTTAGGTAATTTTGTTTATTTGTCATGTGTTTAATAATTTCATATATAGTTTATTATACAAAAAAAGTTATATTATTATTTTTATATTTTAATCAAATAGGATAATTCTATGTTTTATATTATAGACAATTCTCTCAAATAGACCTTTTTAAGTTTTTGTCACAAAAATAGAATCGAAAAACTAAAATGACCAAAAACAACTTTTTTTATTTTAAAATTTTCAAAAAAAGAATTATTTTTAAAAATTTGAAATTCTATCCCCAAAACTCCACTCCTCAACTCTAAACCCTAAAATCTAAACTATATACCTTAAACTCTAAACCTCACATCTTAACTCTAAACTCTAATGTCTAGATTAATTAATCCTATGAATATAACTGTACATTTACTTCTTTTGATAAAACATTTAAGTCTATTTTTGTCATTTTTATTTTTAAGGTCTCTATTGTGACAATTGTTTTTAGGTTTATCATAAGGAATTTCTCTTTTGTTTATTTGTCATGTCTTGATAATTTCAAATATAATTTATTATATAATAAAAAATGTGTATTAATAGTATCATATTTTTTAAAACAAAAATCTTATGTGTTAGTTTGTGATCTTGAAAATATATTTTCTATTATAAAAATTAAGTGAATTTGCTGATTTGTAACTTCTTCATGATTTAGGTAATTTTTTTATTTGTCAAGTTTTTAATAATTTCCTATATAATAAAAACATATTTCTGTTAATAATATTATATTTTTAAAATAAGATACTTCTCATATATTATATTGTTATCTTGAAAATATAATTTTCTATTATAGAAGCAACTATTATTTGAAAACTAAATTTGTTTAGTTGTCAACTTCTCTATAATTTTAGGTAATTTTCTTAGCAGAAGAATAAATATTTTAGTTCTTGTTACATTATTATGTTACAAAATCGTATTCTATAAAAAAATAGAATTATTATTTTTATTGAGTTAGTTAATGTAGTTATATTTTAATTGTTTGATTATTATTATTATTATGATTTCTAAATTATATGATTTGATTAGACTCAGCATGTCTATATGTTGTCGAACTGGTAAACACGATGACTTGTACATAAGCTGGTTTAGATTTAATGAAAACTAGTTAGTTCAAAGCATGCAAACTTTTGTTTTTTAAAACACAATGAAGTGTGACCGGCCATTTGGTTAACATGGTAAAAAAAACAAATAGTCTTCAATATTTTAAGAGATGAGTGAAACTTCTAATATATTTTAAAATTTATTATTTTTATTCACTTAATTGTTTAAAATTTATATTTAAGTAGTTCCTTAGATGAAATATTTGATTTGATATAAACATATGGTATTTTGCAATTCTAGTACGATCATATATACATTCTATAAAAGTCAGTTAAGATTACACATACACTGTATATACATTATTTAAATTTCATCATCAATTTTCATTAATAATAATTGGATTTACATGATATGAGTTTGTAGCTAGTAAAATAGGGTAGCACTTATCAATAATGCATTCTTTTAGAATATTACTGAGCTATATGTAAATAAGAATGGCTATAAGTTTGTATAAAAAAATATTTCAGATGTTATAAATTGTACTCAAACACTTGTCTACTTATTGAAATATATATATATATATATATATATATATATATATATATATATATGATAAAGGTTGTCTTAGAAACCTATGTTTTATATAATATGATAAAGGTTGTCTTGAATTAAATAATGACATCTTCTATTATTATATATACTATATTATTGTTTTGTGAATTTTTTTTAAAGAATACGATAAAAAGTTTCTAAGAAAATTTAATTTGATAAAATAAAAAAGATTCATTACCGAATTCGTTTTTATATTCATAAATATGGTTTTATATTCAGTTTTCTAAACAATGAGAAGTTATTAATGATCTCATAAAAATATTATATAGTTAAAGAAAATTAAGTGTAGGACCAAAAATAATGAATAGGTCCAAACAACTTATATAAATAGATTTTTTAGGACTCCTTCCCTTTTAATAGTATTGATTATGTTTATAAATCAAAAGTCTAAAAATGAAAAAAAAAACTGAAATATACCAAAATCCAATCTGAACAACTCTACTTTGGGCCGTTAATTATACGGATTAAAACATGTAATGACTGAATTCGTTGTTTAAAAGGCCTTGAGAAGAAATCGAAATTCATCTCTAAGTAACAATAGATCCCTTTAACTCTCGAGAAGTCAGTTTCCTACATGTCACGCTTACGTTAACTCTCGAGATGGTTGATTACATAGATATCCTTAATAAATTGTTAGATTTTAAGTTTATTATTATTTTTATATAATTTCTTTTTTACCCTTTTCCAAATAACATACAATAATAAAAAGGAAATATTTCTAAAATTTTAAAACAAATTTAAAACGAAAATATTTGTATATAATATGACTTTATTAAAAAGGAAAGTTCACAAAATAGTAATAACCCCATTAATATATTTTTAAAATAACATAAAATATATTTTCAAAATAATAAAAATATATATGTTCATGAACATTCAAAAATTTATCAGTTACACTTTATTTTCTAATTTTTTTTAGAAATCAACATATAATTTGATAAATATTATGAAAATACATGTATATTTAAGCAATAAATAAAATTAATTTGATTGGACTTAACTAAAATGAAAAGTAATTATACTTCAATTTTTTTGAAAATATATTTAACTCAATATACTCACAAAATGAATGACTCTACTAATCTAATTTATATCCAAAATTAAATATCTAACTACAATAAGAGCATATAATTTTATTATAATAATAATAATAATAATAATAATAATAATAATAATAATAATAATAATAATAATAATAATAATAATCTATTTAATTTTATACATATAAATTAGAGGTTGACTCGAAGCATATTAAAAAGAAAAAGAAAATATTAACCAATTACAATTCAATTCTTTTGTAGAATTTATATATATTCATGAGACTTCAAATATTATCATTATATTCATTTATGTAATTGTGAATCAAACACTTCAGCTTATTATTTATTTCATTTTAAGCACAATATATATTAAGTTATACATAATTTAACTATAGTATATTTACATATTTAAGACAATAACCAACCGAAAAATAAGAAAATTCATCAAAGTTTTATTATATTTAGAATAAAAAATATTATAGCTGAATTCGAAAAATAGATATTATCCAATATACCAAATTGGTAACCAAACCAACTATTGATCCAAAAAATAATTAAACCGACAATAATATATCCAAAGCATATGCATAATTAGAATAATATAATATTTATTAATATAAATTATACATATAAATTTATTCAAAACAAAAAAATAAATATCAATCAATTATTATAAAATTTTACTTTTATGAATATTCATACCCGTGCATGAGCACGAGAAAATCACCTAGTTTACAAAAAAAAATCATTACAATATGGGGAGTCTGTTACAATTGTTAACAAAGCACACCTATCTCACTGGGCAAAAAAAAAAGGTGTAAAAAGCTATATGAGATTTGTTTGAATACTTGCATGTGTGTGAGAAGCACAAGGCACATTTCCATAATGTTCCTGTTGTGTCGCTCAGGACTCCTTTATACTCGGGTGTATGTGGAGAAGTGTTCATGTACGAAATACCAGTGGGGAGAACAGGTATTTGAGGGCAGGAAACTCTCCTCTATCATCTGAGAATAGAGTAATTGTTTTGGTTTTGAATCAAATCTCAACAAGGATTTTAGGAACACTGGTTACATATTATGTGTTATTAGTTGCCTTCTCAGTTCTCCCCATATCGTTAGTGGTTACATATTATTTGTTAACAAGTCTTGCAAGTTACTTTGTTATCACAATCTTTCGTGTTCCTCACGCAAAATTTTGAGATTTACTTTGTTCTCTCAGTCACAAAAGTGCGATTTATATGATCTGTTTTACCATTACAAGTTATATATCATTCTTAGTTTTTCAACTCAATCGAAACTTGAATAAAAATATAACAAATTTTCAAGGCACAAAAGACAACCGCAAGGCAAAGAAAACTATAAGAATCAAAGATTCGGAGACATAATAAGGATCATCATCATACAACACATCTACTAAATTTGAAAAATACAACAGAACATAATTACTATTGTTTCTGAAAAGGCCAAGTTTCATTACACATAAAAAAAAAAAGATCAGATTTTCAAATTCTCCAGGAGACGAACAACTTTGGCTCTAACTTTCCTTGCTTTGGCTTTGTCTCTCTTCGCTTTGAGTTTACCACCAAACTTGTCGTTGCTAGCTTTGCTCGGCACCATCCTCTTCAAAAGCCAAGGTTGACTTCTCACAAATTTTTCATGCCGAAACTCAAACCGACCGATTCTATGAAACCGATGATAGAGAAGCTCCGACACAAACTCCGAGAAATTCCTGCCGAACTCTACAGATTTGGGCAGAACCTTCGTGCACAACTGATCGACATCCCAAACGACGAAACTGTTGTTGCTGTTCTTGCTCCACGAGATGATTCCATCCAACGAGTGATCATTCACAATCTCATACAACTCCGTTAAGAATGAATACGACCCCGTTGCTGATCTGTGAGCCATCCTTAACCCTAACACACTTGTAAATCAGATGATAGAGAGAGAGACGCTTTATTTATAGGTAATCGAGGGAGATTTCAACGGTCACGATTAAATTACAAGGTTTCCTTTTTTCTCTCTTTTTTTAATTTCCTTTTTTCTAACTACGTTACCTTCATTACAAAGGTATTAAAAAAAGAATAAATAATCATGGGCCTAGACGAATATTGGGTTTGTTTCGTAAATCTAGTTTACATGCGGAATTAATTATAAATTAGAGAGGGACTCAATCTTTGCCCTCAGAAGTAAATTAAAAAAAAAAAGATATCATCCATCCTCTTTGCCTCCAGTGAGATGAAAGACGCAAAACTTATAAACTGGGAAGAGCTTCCATCAGAGCTGATCTATTCGATTCTGCTCCGTCTTAGCGTGTCTGATAGACTAGAAAACGCTTGGAACGTGTGCAGAACGTGGCGACGCTTCTGTCAAGACCCCTTGATGTGGCGGAAAATCGAAAAACTAAATATCGGACAAGCCACGGATGTCGGAGAGGCCATGTGCCGTCGTGCCGTTGATCTAAGCCAGGGGGGCTTGCTGGAGATCAACATTGCCTACATCGGCAGCGATTCTCTCCTCGCCTACATCGTGGACAGGTGAAACCCTAAATCTCTGATCCTGATTTCAAGTCTTGGTTTTGCAATAATAGTTTGTGTCTCATGTTATATATGACTTTTGCGTGCAGGTCAAATAACCTGAAACACCTTGTACTTACTGAGTGCTTTAGAGTAACTGGTTGTGGGCTTTTCAAAGCAGTCACTAAGCTCACATTGCTTGAGCACCTTGAACTTTCGCGATTCCCTTATATGGAATTGGATTTGGAAGGTATAGGCCTTTCTTGCCCACTTCTCAAGACTCTGAAGCTAAAAGATGTTGGTTACTACTTCAAGGTCAACGAGTGTGATGATGATGCTTTCGCAATTGCTAAAACAATGCCCGGTCTTATCCACCTCCAGCTTGTAGGGAATAGTTTAACAAACGCCGGCTTAAACGCCATTGTTGAGAATTGTCCTCACCTCAAATACCTTGATTTACAAAACTGTATCTACATCAATCTTGCCCACCAATGATCTGCAGAATCCCCTGTTAAGAGATGAACATTTTACATTTGCATTTTGATGATGAGGTTACATTCTTACGAATAGTATTATGATTTATGTTTGTTTATATATAAGAGTGCTTTAGAAAAGTCTCAACAGATCAAAGTTTTACATTTCCTTTGGACATAATGCGTAACAAACTCTTTTTGGCATTTAGAGAATCTCTTTGGTCCAACAAACACCTTTAGTTCCACCTATTAACTACCAACACTCGGTTTCCCTGTCTGTCCAACTTCCATTGCGCCACCTACACATTGATTTGAAACACAATGCATAATAGAGCTACTATTATATAGTATTACATTTGAATTAGAAAAAAAGTTATACAGTAGTTCGATGTAGTTTTGCAGTAAAAATTATGTGGTAAAAACTATAGATTTATGCCGTATGTTTGCTGTAAACATACGAGTTACTGTGTTCTGAAATAATCGACTGTAATGTTTTTGATGTATAAATTGCAGTATGTATTATTTAAGAAAAAACATTATTGATTTAGATAATAATAACATTGATTATAAATTTTTTAAAAATATATATGAAATTTTAAATATAAAATTAAATTAAATTAAAACTATGAAATTTACCTCAACATATAATTATTATACAATATGTCTACATATATATATATATATATATATATATATATATATATATATATATATATCATTTATATAATGACTTGCACTAAAATATGAAAAATATTTTTAAAATAATTGATTAGTAATTTTTGATGTATAATTTTTCCTACTAAATAAAAAACATATAATGGTAATAATAATAATAATAATAATAATAATAATAATAATAATAATAATAATATAGTTATCAAATTTTTAACGAAATGCACCTATATAAATAAGTAGTTTTATGTTATAACAATAGTCATCAAATAGAACTAAAAATTAAAATTTCAGAAAAAGTGATTAAATAGTTACATAGATAAATGTAGTAACTATAAAATGAATTTAGAAAAAAGATAATTACTTAAGTACGTAGGTCTTTAGTTGAAACAAAATAAAAAATGCTAACTCAAATCCTAGTACATGGCATTGTCCTTGATGTTGAGTTAGAGCAGGTCCATTGGGGCTTCTGATCCAGGGGTACTTCAAAAAAGGGTGAAAAATAAATCAAAAAACAAAAAAAAGAAGTGGGAAGCGCTACTTAAATGGGGACTTATGGGTTTGGTAAGTACCCTTACATGGCACCCTACCATTCGACCACACCAAATTGTATCTCTCTCCTTCTGGGTCTTTCTCCCGATTTCATTTTCTCTCCATCTCTCCATCTCTCTATCTTCTCCGGCGATATAATTTTTTTTCTCTTCATCCTCTCGATCTCTCGATCACTCGATCTCTTCATCTCTCGATCTCTCGGTGTCTTTATCTCTCCATCTCTCCATCTCCCCATCTCTCGATCTCTGGATCTCTCCCTCTCTCCATGCTTCTGTCGATTATCCGTCGAGTCTCCATCGTTTCTCTCCCATGGTCTGAGGCGCTGATGAAGGTCAGAAGACAGAAGGAAGTTCTTCACATGAATCAGTTTCAAAGGAAACCAAGGATGCATGCAAGGATCAAAGTCATACAAGAAGCTAGATAGGTACGAAAATCTCTTTCTCTATAAAAAATCATTGTCGATGATGATTTAGTGAATCTTTTGCATGATGTGAATCAGCTTCAAGCGAAACTAAGGATGCATGCAAGGATCAAAATCATAGAAGAGAGGCGAGATAGGTACGAAATTATCTTTCTATGTAAAAATAACTTGTGAATCATTTAAAAAAAATTGAACTTGTGAATCTTGTAAAATTAACTAGTGGTTTTATCGAATGGGTTCCTTGGTTGATTTGAAGTACTGATGATGGTTAAGTTTCGTTAGACAGTTGGAAATATGGTGTCTTTTGCATTGAAACAGAGTTTGGTATTGCATTGAAACAAAGTTTGGTTTGGTTGTTAGATAGAAAGAAGTGATGATGATGATGAAATTATTGTTTCTTTGTTTCGTTGTGTTGTTAGATAGAAACATCCTTGGTCCAGCCTTATGTGAAATAATAATGATGATGAGATTATTGAGAACATAGATAGAAACATGTAAACTGTGTTACACAAGTTGTTGGTTTGAACTAGTTGTTGGTTTTTAACAATTTGTAATGATGATTAAGATTCGAACTTGTGTTGTTAGATAGAAACATGTGAACTGTTAGATAGAAACATGTGAACTGTTAGATAGAAACATGTGAATTGTGTTACATAAGTTGTTGGTTTTAACTAATTTTCGTTTGTTGTCTTTACCGAGAAAAGCATTTAATTTTACTTTCTTTGTTGGTTGTCTTGTGGTTGAGGATGCGCGTGGAAGAAAGGCAACGGATTCATGGTCATCAAAGCTTCTGTCTATTATTTCAGAGTTGAGAAGAGGTAAAGTAGATTTTTTCTGTAAACGTAGATTTGCTTTTAATGGTTGTTAGGTATTGATTGTGTGATTAGAAAATGGTTGGGAATTAAAACTTGTCATTAAATCTTCAACAACTTTAAATTTAAATTTTAAACGACATCAAAACTTGTCATTAAAACTTCATCAAGCAAAAGCTTTAACATCTATAAATTATGGATTCTCCTAACTTAAACAACCAAAAACTTTAACAACTATATTTCTCTCTTTAGATTCTCTTATGGATCCTTATAGTCAACAACCAAACACTTAGTATGCCTTTGCGTCTGTCCCTCGTGAGCATTATCAGTCTGTCTATGCGTCGGATGCCTCTGTTTTCTGTTCACAATGGAATGAAGATGGCAACAAAGACGCAGAGATTGTGTCTGATCGTCTCGAGAGGCGTAAATGGTCACCTACAGAAGATCTTGTGTTGATAAGTGGTTGGCTGAATACTTCTAAAGATCTAGTGGTTGGGAATAAGCAGAAAGCATGTGCATTTTGGAAACAAATTGCTGCTTACTATGCTGCTAGTCCCAAACTAGCTGGTTTCCAAAAGAGAGAGTTCTCAAACTATAAAGCAAGGTGGGGGAAGATCAATGAAGCCGTATGTAATTTTGTTGGCTGCTATGAGGCTGCAACGAAACAGAACGGGAGTGGTCATCACGAGAATGATGTAATGAAGACGGCTCACACGATATACTCTAATGATTACAAGAAAAAGTTCACAATGGAGCATGCATGGTTGGAGCTTCGCCATGATCAGAAATGGAGTGGATCTTCTTCTACTAAGGAGAAAGTTCAGTCTAAAAGGAGGAAGTTGAATGCTCAGACGACACAGTCATCATCCTCTGTACAAGCAAGCTATGGAGAGGAAGAGATGGGTCGGCCAATTGGGGTAAAAGCAGCAAAGGCAAAAGGTAAAATACCAGTGAGGAAGCAAGCGACTTTGGAAGAGGAAGAGAAGGAGAGGATGAAGTTTCAGAGCATCTGGGAGATTAAGCAAGCGGATTTTGCTTTCAAGGAACTCTTAACAAGCAAAAATTGCTTGAAAGCCTCATTGCCAAGAGTGAACCATTAACTGAGCTCAAAATTTCCTTAAAAAACAAGCTTATAAAAGATATGTTGTGATGTTTCTGTCTTATGCTCTTTGTGTCTTTATTATGTTTGTGTCTTCATGCTTTTTCTGTCTAATGATGTTTGTGTCGAGTCTATTAGTTAATGGAGTCTGTATTAATTCAGTCATCATCCTCTGTAATATAACTATCTTTTGTCTTAATTAAATTTGTGTTTTGGCTTGTGTTGTTTGATAGTGTTAATTAAACTTGTCTCGTGCTAGTGCAGGTAACATGTGACATGTAAAGACAAGAAGACTTGTAAAGACAAGGAGACAAGACCATGTGATTTGCACTGAAAAGAATACATTGACCGTAGCATGTGATTTGTAAAGATGCCAAGACAGCTCTTTGTGAGTTGTAAAGACATGTAAAGATGCCAAGACAACTCTTTGTGACTTGTAAAGCTGGTTTGCAAGTTGTAAACCAACGTGTTTCCTTATAAATTGTTAGTTTGAGTTTGTATCATAAAATATATTTGTGAAACTCTTTCTCTTCTGATTGTTAAAGAAAACAACTCTCTTCTCTTTTGATTGTTAAAGAAAACAACTCTCTTCTTTATGTTGTTTGCTTATTTTTTCTTATTTGTTCAACTCTCCTCTTTTGATTGTTAAAGAAACAACATCCAACTCTCTTCCCTTATAATTCATTAACCATCTTCTAAATGGCTTCCTCTTCTAATAATAATTATGAAGATATGACGGACGATATGTTGGACGAGAGATTCGATCAAGTTTTTGATCAACGATTTCAAAATCTGCTCAGTCGTCATGAAGATCGTCAAGAAGCATCAAGGTCCAAAAATAAACGAGCTTACATTGAAAGACAATGAGAGCAAGGACACATGCAATTATGGAATGATTATTTTAGTGAAGATGCAACATATCCTTCGCACATGTTTCGACGCCGTTTTCGAATGAACAAATCCTTGTTCTTGCGTATTGTGACCGACTCTCCGCTGAAATCCCGTACTTTCAGCAAATAATAGATGCTACTGGAAGGTTCAGCCACTCCGTTACAAAAGGCAACAACAGCAATTCATATGATGGCATATGGTTGTCCAGTTGATGCGGTCGACGAATACCTCCGCCTTGGTGAGTCCACCGCGCTTTTATGCTTATAACATTTTGTTCAAGATATTATAAATATATTTGGAGATGAGTATCTAAAAAGACCAATGCCAGAAGATCTTCAACGACTACTCGATATTGGAGAGCTACGCGGATTTCCCGGGATGATAGGAAGCATTGACTGTATGCATTGGTAGTGGAAGAATTGTCCCACCGCATGGAAAGGTCAATATACATGTGGATCAGGAAAGCCAACAATTTTTCTAGAGGCAGTAGCTTCATAAGACCTCTGGATATGGCACACGTTTTTCGGACCTCCAGGTACATTAAACGATATCAATGTTCTTGATCAGTCACCGGT